AACATGTACACCGGTGTCTTCTACAACAGAGAAGCAGTTAGACGCGGATCATGTATTTGGTGAGGTGGAGGAATTTGAGTGCTTTGAAACGCCCAGACAACCGCAACATGTAGCCATAGGATATTTTCGCTTAAGTTGCGTCGAATTCGGTGTTGACAGTATTTCTCAAGCCTAAAAGGATGATGAGAAGGGTTTCGCACTAAATAGTGTCTTTGTGGGCTCAGAGCATTTTCTTCAACTGGCAGTGAAATCACTTGACCAAGGCTTCCGCGACAGGATGATACACCATCGTCCAGACGTCGTGGCAGCCTAAACCTTTAAGCAGCGTAGCAATAACGGATGAGAAATCTGACATTCGGTTGGTCGGTACGATGACGGAACAACATTGCTGCACTATTTAAATCTCTAAAATTGCCTCCTCTACCTTTTGTAGAAGATCAGTTGAGAGGAAGAATCGCAGAGAATATGCCCGAGACAACTCAGGTGTCTCAGCAGAATTATGCAGTCCACTGCATACAAGCCACTGCCTCGAAATACTCCCGTGTTTACAACTCGGTCACTGCAGCCGATTCAGCGTAAACTATGCTCTTGGAAGCGCTTCAGTTTTCGGACATCCTTCCGATAAAGCGTCAGGGTTTCGCTGCCTTATCGAAGAATGGACAGCACCAAAAACTTGTATACCAGCAGCTCCGTCCAGACAGTGAGCTGGTGGTCGTTCCACATGCGACATTCCAGCTTGTCAAATGCAGCAGCCGCCTTCGATACGCGGCTGCGCTGCTCGCTCGTCATCTGCAGGTCGGTTGTAATCACTATACCTAGACAGCAAAATTTCGGAGTGATTTCCAATACTTCTTCGGCAACCTGGATTTAGGGCATGCACACGGACCACATTTCGGATGAAGGCTGGAAAAATAAACGGTCTTACTTGGGTTGACAGTGAGGCCGAATTTATACGTTGTAAAAGCCAGAGCACTAGTCATGCGCTGCAACTCATATGCGTTGTGTGCAAACAATGTTCAGTCGTCAGCGAACAGCAACATATGGATAATTATCTCACAGACTGGGGTCCTCGTATCGAAACGACGTATGTTCAGCAAAACACCATCAATACGGTGCGTAACCTGAACATCGTAAGCTAATGCAGCATCCAAAGCATACCACATCATGGCGTCTAGATACATATTAAACATTGCAAGAGTTAACACGCAGTCTTGCTTCACACCAGAGATAACTGCAAAGTCATCCAACATCTATGCACCCAGCTACACCTTTGCCCGCATACCACTGTACAGCTTGAGTGCATATTTTACTTGGCTACTTCGTCCCCGCCCACCATGCAACACTCGTCTAGTTGATTCCGTGATTGGCATGCTAGGCGCTCATGTAGCAGGGAAGACGAGGCGAAAATGTTACGAAACCACTTGTTTCAGAATTAAAGCGTGTAGTCTAAGATGCTCATATCTCTAGACTCGAGATTTGGAACCAAAACTTATCAACTTGTTCAGATTCAGTCGAAATGTCCTAGTGGTTACTTACTACTGTACACAAATAAGATGAAATTACATCGAAACGCGTCGTGGCTGTGCAGTGTTTTTGGGTGGGCAATACCCAATTCCCATCTACTTTGAATACGGTCCCCGTGATCGCAGTGACTAAGGTTCATTTCAATGTGAATCACGGTCCTTTACATTGAGGTTGCGTGTCGCAATCCAATCACACAACGTGTAATCCAAACTTGACCCTCCATATATAGAAATCTTTAGTGAAACTATATGCTGGTTAATAAATTCTGTGCTTCAGCCCTCCGCGCTTTTAGTGACCAACCAGCTGTACTATCCAATGCTAAAGAGCTACCTAAAAGCAAATTACAACACGACGCTTGCTGGCACCCTGTCCATGTAGCGCGATTTCCGGACATTTAGTAGGATTCGCCACTGTTGCATCTAGTCGCATTACCGGATGACCTCTGACCCACCAAATATTCGCTGCATTACCGTGATAAGTTATTTCCAGTTGGATCAATAACCTGATCGCTGTTCACCATCGATTCCCTTTTAGCTTCGAGCCAAAAGTACCATTTGCCTAGTTGTCATCTGGTTAATAGAGTCTATTGATATCTATGGTACACGATTCATAGTCTGCTCAGTTTAGTAAATTAATCTGGACCCGAAGCACGCGCCTGGGATTATCATTCAACCGTCTTCACGGTGTACAAGGAAGGCGTTAGATACGCAGCAATGCCTTAAGAAGCTGTTGATCAACACTTTGCAAATATTCACGAGGATAAGAATTACAGACGGTGAACAATAACTAGGAACGATAGTTAGACTCAGAAATGCTGTTCTACCTTTGAAATCAAGTTTGCTGTTACTCGAGTCTCTGTGACACAAGCATTTTACAGATAAGTTCGCACTTTTTCGCCCTCTTTTTATCATTATGAGCTGCATTTAAACTTCAATATCCGTGTTTCAGTGAGACGTGTGGCATCCTTCCAGCATTTCATTTTCTTTTCCAAGGTTTCTTGATGCATATCTTGGTGGGTCCGCTGACAATACGTATAGAAAGCTAGGCCCGTAATAGTAGCGGGCTCAACAGAGCTAAGCTCTTGCAACTCTTTGAGAACTTGTTCGCACTTGAACGAGGCATCTGTCTAAGTTGTCTTGTCAACTGATTCATGTGAGCTGGCAACGGAGAGCAATCGGTAATGGATTGAGTTAGAATGTGGTCCCACCGGCATGCAAAGACTATGCGGAACCGTGTGACGCTTACATCAGTTTCTGGTTTGATGGTCATAGAGTGGTCATGGCTTTGCCAAATGAACTATGTCCTTTATTTATGCATAGTTTTACAATGAGCCTGCAATCAGGGACCGACATAAAGGGAAATTAAGCAAATGCTACCACCTGCGGTGTGTTGGATGAGTATAGTGACTGCAAATCGAATGGTACAGCACAATCTTGTACGATGGAACAGGAGACGCATAATTGGTAGATAACGTTAGCGGTTGTGTGGGCCCATCTTAAACGTGACCGGTGTTACCCTTCGGATTTTATCTCTTGCCTTAACTAGCACCTGCCTACATACTAACAACAGTAGTTATATTCCATGCCATCAAATTCCGGTACGTAGTCAAGCTACAGTTGAAGTGTTACGACGACATCAGTGTACAAATGTCAGTGAATGGTTAGTCGGGGTTTCTTGGTGGTGGTTAATTTACACAAACACAATGCTTGATTGATCTGCAGTTGTTGGTTGTGTACCTTCTATATATGCAACATAAGTTCACTGAGCCACAGCACATGGATAACCACTACAAATTCTTCCCACCGCGAGGTGTACAAATTATGTGACCAAAGGACTTCATGCAGACCTCAGATCCAATGGTTGTGAAGCGGGATTTTTAAACACCAAGGAGGGAGGAACAGTAGTTCAGCGGAGCATTTTGACCCCGAATATTTGTTACAAGATTATCCGCATTACAGGGCTTACACAGAATCATGATGCGCATCGTCGTCACTGAAACTGATGGAGTCTACTGCCATTAGATTGGACCGCGCTGCCTGAGAAATATTACAGAAAACAAAACACCAGTGCAGGCTGAGGCTGGACGATCTGTCCAAATGTTTACTGACATTGACTTGTCAGCGCTCAATCACTAAAGCCTTCGAAAAACTAAAACATTTGGGTTAGTTTCCGCCGTCATATATTTGCCACGTTATTCGTCTGAGCCCCGGTACTGCACGCAGTCTAGAGTCCAATTAAATTAGAGCGCACTAGCTGGATAGAGTTGTATATTTGTAAAAGACAGCAAAACCATGTGAGTCCTGCCTCCTTGTTTAAGGATATGAAAATTCTTCTTACACACACTTCCGCTGTCACCCTGAGATAATAGTATATGACCCTGTCTACGTTTGATTGAAACTGAGTAGCGGTCATTTCCTTAAGTGCCCCCTGTAAATATAGCGATCATTACTTGAGGGGACAGCCGTTTACACGTTTTATTCCAGGTAAACAAGCACGTATCCGCGTCTATGCTTGTTGGTATGTTTATGGCACTCTCAGATTACCGGTATTAAAACCTTATATATTTATTATGTATCTGGATAGATACCATGTTTTAAGCCATGCATGGGGAGAGAAACGCGCATCTTAGCTCTACCATTTAGTGGCAACATAGACATGTCACAGATTCTCATTTGCCAGCATTGCAGTAGGAGACCACCGGGGGATGGAGCGGAGGGAGCATGAAGTCCGTGGTTTGAATGCTGGATACTGAAATTAGAGAGACATCTGTGTTGTTCAGTCCTAACTAGATCAGGCACCTGCACGGAATCACGTTGCTGATTCCTGCCCGGTGGCTACGTATTACAGCTGCATTACGTCTTATCCGGTTGCGATATGCTCCCTACACGTGTAACCGGTAAAGTGAGCGTCAAAGAATGTCTTAAATTCCGACACTGATTTCGCGTCAATTATTGTCTCAGGCAAATTGTTCCACTATTTTAGCACTTAGTGCTCGAAGCATAGAGGGTGAGCGATACGCTTTAAATCCGGTGTCACCAGTTTGTAACGGTCTCCGTGTGTATTGCTTGATGCGCGAGAGTGAAGCAGCGGTCTCAACATTAATAAGATTCCCAGATGCAATATATGATGCGTCACAATAAGATCAACTCGAAGCCGGTGATATGACAGGGTATAAAGCCCTCGTATCCTACATCGGTCCTCGTACGACATAAACCGTAAAAGGGGGGTGTGCTGTTTTCGCTTCCACTTGTCAAAATCTTTCAATCTAGAAATCAGTCAAGGTTAACATACACTAGATTTCTCTGTATTTTACCCAGGAGATTCGTCACAATCAGACCCGGTTAGAGAGCCGGTAGAATGCTAGGCATTCTGGAAACGCTAGCATTTACTCTGTCCTCTGCATCACTAGAACCTGCGACCCGACCTACATGCCTCCGTGGTTGAAACAACTGGGCCACTATATTGACTGTATATTTTTGAAATCCTGGCAGAGGTTTCCATTTGCTGTTAACGTACCTGCTTTGCTTAATGTTCTCTGATACCCGCATAAGCCTTTCATTCAGCCCTGTAAAACCGGTGTATTCCATTACGCATTACCATTCGAGACAAGTTAACTAACAATTATCTCGATTTACCAAGGGCAAGAATATTCTCAATACTGCGATGGCCCACAATCCACAGTTTATTGAACAGGAGTGCACATGCCTGTCTGTTGATTTAAGCCCATTTCCAAAGTTATATCGCCCAGAAAATATCCGGTTGTATAAATTATTTGAGCGGGAAGGATACGAACTGCGCATTGCAGGTGCAGGAGTCTGTGACTTACTTTTGGATGTTGAACCGGATCGCATCGAATACGCAGTGTATGCCAGCCCGAACCAGTTAAAGGAGATGTGCCAAAAATATGACATTCGGATTTTCAGTCGAAGAGACGAGATTTTCGACCAGTTTGCCCTCGTACTTGATAATAAGGCAAGTGTTATGATTTTAACCGTTTTCGTAACTTTTGCATGGTGTCCGCTGTTCACTGTGTAATCCAATTTTATGTACTATTAGGTCTACGTAGAATATGCGAAGCATTCATAAGTTGAATTTATTCTGTTGGCAATTTCTCTTTGGTGTGCACAGTTGATATCTGGTCTGAAGTTTAAATAGTTGAGGTCTGGAGTCGCTCTACTTGTGTTATTTCAAGCTAGGCGATTGCCACTGTTGAGCAGTCTAGTCATGAGACCGATTCCGCGCTCAACCCCGTTCATATTGATTTGTCACATATTACGTTTGCTGATAATATTTAATTGCGTCAACTCACTCTATTGTCCCGAGTATCCAGAGTTTCAACCGCCCACATACAACAACATGCGAATAGCCACAGTCTTAGTGTAAATCAGCGCCTCCATTGCAGTTCAGCTCCGACAGAATAGGAAAGACTACCTTGGGTTGTAAACTGATTCATATCTTTTGGCTTCCGACGAGTGCAATCAAACTTTCCTGATACTCCCATCCCGTTAGAAGTATTGCCATTAAGCTCGGTTACATGGTTGCGTCTTTGGTGAGAAGACATGAATTACCTGCGGCGTTTGCTGATGAGACGTTCGTTTACACTTGTCCGTACTTGCAATTGCTACTGCATCATAGGCTACAAACTAGCTTCGCCGTAACAGAGCATTCCACAGTGCAGGTTGATAAATATGTTCCTAGCAAGTGAAAGTGCCTGCAAGCCATTCGCCACATAAACCACAAAGTAACAAGAATAAAATGGGCTTGTTCCAAAGTAAGTGCCAAAATTAATCAAATTGAGCGATATAGGAGTCTATCCAGTAGACACACTGCGGTATAATGTGAAATGCTGCAGGTATATCCATCGGGTACTTGAGCCTATTTAGACCGGGCTGTTGGAAAAGGAAGCAACAACTACCACGGCACATCACCTAAAATTGGGAAGCTACTTGTGCGGATTTGGGCTGGAAACATTGTAAAAATGGATTGGTGTGAGGACGTTGTACGAGGGGTGTTCAAAACGCAACCGAACTTTTACCATAACATTGTCTTGTTCATTACACCAAGTTTTAAACACTTCCGCCTTCAAATTAGCCCCATATACTGGCAATACACCGTTCCCAAGGGTGATTCCACTTTTAAAAGCCTCCTGCAAAGCACTTTCCGAGATGGCGCACATGTTTCTTGTCGCATTGTCCTGAATCTCCTCCGTGGTTTGCGAACGACCTTTCAAGGTGGTTTCAAGTTTAAGAAAAAAATAAAAACTTGCGGAGGCTAGGCCCGGAGATTACGGTGGATGGAGCACAACCTGAGTATGATGTTTCGCTATCTAGTTGCGGACAAGGAGCGATACGTGAGCCGGCTCATTATCATGATGCGACATCAAAGTATGGTGTACCCACAGTCAGGGCCTCTTCTTGCGCACAGCATCCTTCAAACTTATTAGAGTTTGATGGCATGATCCAACGCTGATGTCTCCATCGTCAGCAAGTTCTCGAACAGTTAAACGACGATTTCCACGGATCACAGCAAGAACTCTGTCCCCATTGTCCTCTTTTGTTGATGTGGAAAGTCGTCCAGAATTGGGATCGTCAACGACCGAAGTTCTACCGTGTTCAGAACAATTAAACCACACATAACACTGTGAGCGACTCATACAGTCCTCCTAGTATGCTTGGCCAAGCAATTTAATTGTAGCTGTAATAGTTTTGCCAAGTTTATAACAAACGTTGAGAAACGCGCGTTGTTCTTCAAGTTCTTACATTGCCTCTTTGGCACGAATCCGTCGAACAGCTTGTGCCTGTACTCACTCCAGCGGCAGTTGCTCCCCAACATACAATCAAAGAGAACTGTGGCAAATGGCAGTTTGTTGTCTAAGTAAGCCACCACCTACGCTCAGTTTCCGCAGCACGCTATCTCTGCCGGATGCCACGCTATTTCAAGTCTTTGATTTCTTTTTGAACCCACCTCTTAAGTACGGAATGAACCCATAAAACAAGTTACGCTTTATTCGGGATATCGACAGCCTCCACTGGCGTAAAGAGGCGGTTGTGGGATAAGCTGCAGAATGGTAACGAAGCACAAAGGCAAGCGTATTACAGTTCAGGGAATGAGGGCAACTCATTTCAAAATGGGATTAAGTACAATTTCCTGAAACTCTTGCTTATCCGACGTCCTAAGTTAGACGGACAGCCTTGATGTGCTGCGAGAAACAATGCATTGAAAACTGCCCCGATTTTAAGCATAGAAATATAGTTCCAGTGGACCCGAAACAAGGTACTGGACATAGCTTCAGTGAGTTAGGAAATATGAGGTGAACGGAATGTTTGCCAATCCGTGCTTTCAGTGGAATTCTTGGTTGGTAAGTTGAATCGATTTGCTTCGTCTACACTGCACAGTGCTTTGAATCATGTGGAACACCGTGTTCACAAATCTATTACAAACCATACCGAACAAGAATTATCTCGGTTCCGACTGAACAGGATACTAGTTTCAAATTCTTGTATTCATCGTTGATAAGATGGATGACAACGTGTAACGAGTGGGTTCGGTATTGCTAGTCGACATTTGTCGGCTACTATACCGATTCCATATAGGGTGATGATCATTCAGGTGACGAATTCACTGCATCGTCAGCGTTTGCTGACAGGAGGGAGGCTATAATGCCGGCATTGATTTCGGTGTTTGCTGAGGATGCGTTGACCAAATATTTGCGCCAAAACAGTATGGAAAGTTTACATTGTAGGCTAACTGCTCTAGGTGTTGCTATACCTAGATTAACTAAAGTTCCAGCTTGTGATTTGGATTAGCATCGAAAGTGTCCCCGACAAGTGTATTTCGGGGGACCAAATATGTTCATCCTAATCTGAATAATGTTACTATTTGGGAACGCCGCACATGATATACTGGAAAGTGCGGAAGCAACCCTGCTTGAGAGGTTCATCTTGCTGTCAGTAACGTCAGGTTAAAGTGGTTAGCAATAGCTATCTGGGGCTTTTCCATCTTAATACATCGGTTTGCTGTGCAATAGAATGTTGCATCCGGATGGTCACTGTGAACCATAATATGTAAGGATAAGAGGGATAGCGTTTACCAGAGCTCGTACAGTGGTCGGAATAAAAATAGCAAAGTCAGACAAAAAATGTAGCCACTAAATGTGACTGCGCGCTTGTGAACTCGTCGTTGAATTCAAACGGTAAAATGTCCAACTGCAACTGATTGGAATTTGGGAGCATGCCGTATGGTTACCTTCTGTAGTATCCTGGTGGATACAGGTTATAAAATGAAACGCAAATGATGCAAAGCGTCGTCAGGGCGTTTTCATGCATCATTAAATTTGGAGAATACAGAAACAATGTACGCGGAGTGGACGTTCCAAGCCAACGGAAATGAAATTTCGAGGATATTCCTGTCGGGTCTATTGTTTGCAAACCTTAAACTGGTGACATCTTAGGTTGGTGATTTGACTGATTTCCTAAGCCTGGTAGCAATTGTGGTTGGGAGTCTTCGGCATTTGCCGAGCCATTACAAGCCCTCCTCATGGAGGGGACAACGCCACTTTTTACAAATTCCTCCTGACTGCATTCTAAGTTGGTGGGTACACGTAAGAGGACCCTAACGTTTTGAATGTCCTCTGTTGTCTAGTCTGGACCGGTAAAAGATCGAGCCTTTGCCACAGGTGACACGGCTGAATGATATAATAGTACATGGTTATGGTAAGGGGCAGAAGGAATTTACAGAGGCAGACGGATAGGGGGCACAGCCAGAGGTTTGCTTTACAACCTAGCTCCTCGTAGTCTATCAATGCTTCGAAATCTTTGTTTTTTATCCGATAGAATCAAGTGTGTAAAGCCTACCTTTAGTAGCAAGTGGCTGCCAACAGTGCTAGACAAGTGGTAGGCGCAGAATTGCAACCTTGTCTTGCCGTTGATCTCTAGCGTATAACAACTGGCAGTCCATCTCTGGTCTTTGCATGTGCACAATGCCTTCGGTAGAGATACATCCAGAGTGGAGAGTGATTAACGCAGATTGTATGAATGCGGAAAATGTTGCTTTGATGCCGTACTTCTTGCTGCTGGGTTGCAAAGCATTTTCACATTTGCTCTACTATTTTGCAGTATCAGTTAATCCAATTTGTTTAAACATCACGACATTAAAGTTTGGCATGATACCATTTCGCGTTTTATCCAATATTTGCTAGTGGAGAACCAAGTATGTCAAACTGATTGGGTAGCAACTAGTATTTAGATAATCATTGTCCAACTGAACTGGACTTAATGGTTTGAAGCTTCAGTGATTTCCGATGACCAGGTATCGCAAAGAAAAGACAAGCAAGTATAAATTCCTGCTACCAGTACCATGCTGTTTTGCTCAATGCGCTGCGACTTTGATGAGTTCCCATATCACCGTTTACAACTAGTGTGCCCGCATGTGTAATTCAGCATGCGACAACATGTGACGAAGATATTCGTTCCAATAACAATGACTACGACCACGCGTTAAAACCTGCTCTTTGGTTTGCATGGGGATTTAGATTACAAACATCTTTGATACGTCATCTCCTCCCGACGTTCACAAAAAATCTTTAAGACCAAGCTCTTTCTGCTTTTGCTTATTCCTGTAGTTCAATTTTTGCATAACAACTGTTCGAAATGACGCGGCACCCAGCAGATCGACTGGCATGGACGTATGCAACAGTGTTTGGAAGCGGAACGCAGCCAAAAGGGAATTCACAGTGACTGCCATGTTTATCAGTCTGGATCTATCTACTTTACCAGATAATTCAGGAAGTACATCTCCGCATTGCGTTTCCCGTGAGCCCTCAGCAAATCAGCGTGCTACAAGCGTGTTTAAAGGATGTGTTTACGACTACTATGGTGGATTGCAAGACGTGCAAAATAGGCGGATCCGGTTTGTCGGTGACCCATCTATCCGCATGCGTGAAAGCCCCATAAAGATTCTCAGATACTTCCTCTTCCATGGACATGTTACCAGGCCAGCAGAATGGGACGTTCACGATCCTGAAATATTGAAGGTACCTTTCAAGCAGCAGCTGATTTTGACATTTGCTCTTAATGGGGCCTCCTAGCTACCTATTGCTATGTTGAGAATTTGGACTAGCAATTTATTTGTAGTTGTAGTTGTTTTTCAGTTTATGCATATAGTTTGGCGATTTCTTTAAGTACCGTTATATACACAGAAATTTTCGTCGTACCCAAGGCTGCTTTATACCCAGTTACTATTAAATTTGCATGCCCCATATTATCCCCATGTATTTTGCATCGCAGTTTTCCGTGTTATTATATGAATTAGAAGCGACCTACATTATTACTAATAGTTTGCATAATATAGTAAAACTGGTATGTTCGCAACTAGTTGAGACACGGCCCAGCAAAGCTGATCCGGTCAAAAGACAATAAGTAAACACAAATTGCGCTTACTGGACCACTGTAAAAGGTAAGCTCAATTTGCTTTTCCAATAGTTAGTAGAGCATCCATTTCGTCGCACAAGATTTCAATACGGATGACGGTTGCGATTCATTCAGATGCGTTTAGGTGGTGTGTAGCAGAAAGAAAGCAAACTAAGTTTGATTAGACAGGTAAAGTAACATTATGAATTGAAAAAACGTGATTACAAACGAACATTTACTTGGTATGCAACAATGCACTTAAAAATCGAGATTTGTAAGTGGACAAGACAGTAATTCAATTCCATTCAAATACCTTTATAATAAACCATTTAAAGTAATTAGAAGGAACGACATGTCTCACATAGTTGAGAAGATACGATAGCAAGGACAGAAGGAATTTCGCGCAGAAAATTAGTGGTTTAGTGACGGTGCCTCAATAATTCAGCTCTTAAGTAAATCCCCGTCTTGCAGGCACACGTGCCTACCTACTAGCTCGGTACCGAGAATGAAGCTTTACATGAGGGCCAAAACAAAGTCTAGTGTAGATAACTGCACTACATCACAACCAGCTTCCAAATCAGATAATCGCTCACATGCCCGGAAAAGCATTAGACTGCAGTTTCAGCCTGTTGGGCATCGTCAGTAGTGAATATCCATCGGATCCATCAGGATTCCAATTCATGACCACCAGCGGCTTACATCATCCGTCAGCAGCTTTTGCCTCTGGGCCACAGGGAACAGCTTCGGACCGTCATGAATTACAAGCTGTGATATAGCGCGTCTTATCCTCCACTGCCATGTATGTTACGAGCGTTGCAGAGGACAGGGTCGGCCCCGAAAGCCATGACGTCCACTAACATTAGCTATGTATAACATAGCATTTAGAAACTGTTAGGGTGCATAAATTTGGTTATAGATTTGGTTATAGATAACTTAACCCGTAAGCTTTTATAGGCAATCATTTAGTAATGCTGCACTCACGAAACTTGATAACACAGGTTTGCATGCATTAATGAAACCATTTTACAACTACTTATGCTGTCCTTACGGAATTACCAAAACCATGTAATAAAATCCGAAATCCACAAGGAAAGAGCGAAAAGAGTACTTTTAATTGTTCTAAAGTTCCATGTGTGCGTCTATCCTGCTGGATCAGCTAGTGAATGTGATAGGTATGGCAAGGTAAGAGCGAATTGAAACATGCGTGTCGAGGAGGAATAAAAATATTAATGCCGTAATTGGAAGCTTAAGGATGTAATTGGTAAGAAGGGTTACTTAAGTGCAAGAACGAAATGTTATAGGCACCGAAGTACTTGGTGACCGCAGAGTTAACATGGGATCCATTTCTCACTCCAAAGTATGGAGAAAAATATTTCTAACTGGTTCAGAAAAACGGCGTATTAATTGTGAAGTGGTCCTAGGAAATGTTGTTGGTAAGCATTTCGATTTATACATGACAGAACATATAGTAAAATAAAGGTCAGATTTACATAAAGCGATATGAACCTTAGAAAATAAGATTACAGCTTTCTATTTTGTGAAGCAATCCAAAAAGAATTTTGAACTGGCATAAATTTTGGGACAGAAAGTAAGCAAGATACTTCACTGCGGATGAATGAGGCGTATTTTTGTTTATTAATCACTATAGGAAGAGAGACATTTGCAAAGCGTCACGACCTGTCACTGTACCATAGTCCCTCAGACTGCGTGACCGTGGTTAAGGTGTTTGAATTATGTGAGGAGTTATGAGCTCGAAGGGGTCAGTTGTCTCTATCCGTTTGCTTAGCCAGTGATACTGGAAGTCGTCAGCTCATACACTTCGGAATGCGCTTACATATCCGGATAAAATGACGATGAGCAGGGCACCAGCTATCACGAGTTCATCAGAATTAGTACCATGCGACACTTAGGTGAACCGAGTTCGGCTGCTTCATACATTCCGCTAGGTATTACCGGAGTCAGTGTCTGGCAACCTAACACCAAGCTAGTAATTGCTCGAACTGTGTTCGCTTGCTTCCTATGGGTTGGACTCAAGGGTGTCAGTGCGTGCCAACTTAACACCAAACTAACCATTGATTGGACAGTTTTAATTTGTGTGGGAATGGACGCTAAGCAGAATGCATTTTTTCGTACTGCCGAAACTGACGTGGTCTGCTGTTTTCTGTTACTAGCAGAATACGGCGTTTTACTGAGAGTTGTCGTTCCGTGTGGGCCAATGGCTGCGGATGTCAAATTTGGAACAACCAGCCTACTCCAGCTGAATGGTTTTGCTACGATGCGTCTTGCAAGCCAAATTAGCACTTTAGACAGGATGGAAGTGAACCTACTTGGATTACTTTAAAATAATCAGAGTTCCACATCCTCACATCATACTTACAGAAAAAGATGTGTGAGAATCACAAGACAACTTCTTGGGTCAGGAGATCAAAGGCATTTCGATGCGTTGCGTTTGTACGAAAACACATCCTTGTCGGACAGTCGTACAGCCATCGGTTGCGTTTGTGGACCATTGCAATATCTGCACAGCATGCCCGAGTTCTTCCAAGTTACGGCAGGACGAGGAAGGTGTTAATTAATTCAGCAGCCGTATACTACAATTCCTTCCAGATTAACTTTATAATGAAATTCACTACAAAGAGTGTAGAGGCAGTGGCTATTCAGATTATGTTGATTGGTATTTGAGATGATACAACCAGGGACTGCCTACTTCTGGAAGATGAGAACAAACGTAATTGGGAAATATGGAGCAATGAAAGAATGCATTTATCTGAGTAAAACTGCTAAAGCTTAACAGGTCCCATAGAAAGTTCATTTTGAACATTCAAAGTACCGCAAAATTGTCAACAATCAGGTTTACACCGGTGATCTCACTCCAGTACACGTAGTACAAAATGTAGATGTGCTTTAAGCCCATAAGGAATGGTGAACAAAGAGATTTTAGTGCATATGGTGTCGCAACCTGGTGAAAACACACAGGTGAAAAAGATGGAACCATATGTTGGTAGTTGATTAGCAATGAAATATCTGACAGGCACTTAAGTTTGTGTATGGGCATTGAGTCATGTGATATGGTGTAGCGGAAGGAGTGTGTAGTTAACTAGGGCTTGAATTCTACCGGCATCGGAGCCCAGAAGACAGATTCCGCTAGGACATTTCACGTACGGCAAACGCGCACAGAAAAGAAATGCCGTCGGCATTCCAAACGACTGTATTTTTTTGCCAGGTTGAGATGGTGGTCTCTCAAAGTATTGCCATGACTGAGCTTTAGCAAATGGCGGCAAGTGTGCTTGGGGTTTCACAAAAGCTGGCAAGGCAAAATGAGGTCCCCATGCAATCGCTGATGTTGTCCGCTGAAGACACCGTCTACTCGAGACTTTCGTTCATGCGACAAATTATACATACCTTCGACATGTTTAGTTGCTCAGCGTTGGGGTATCTCCAAGGTGGTGAGAACTCTCTTCAGCCATGCTTGCACACTGTACTGCGTACGCCACAGATGGCCGTATGTATGAGACGAAAAGCTATGGAAAAATCGGTGGCTCGTATCGTCCAAATGCACACTTCAAGAGGCCCAAGTGTTGCGTGCCCCTCCCTGAGGCGGTTTCAGCTTGATTCTAACGTCCAATAACGATCTGGACCACAACTCCCAGACCCTGTTTGTCAGAAGACTTTTGAAACTCTTGGTTGCTTAGCTTGTAAGAGCACACCACATGGTTTCGCAAATGTGACACCCTACAGTTGTATACATTGAATGAAAGTAGATTCTGGGTTGTCTACGTGTATGCTCTACCTAGGTCGACTGAAACATTGTGATATTCTCGGGTTTACTGATGGCCTCTCACACCTTAATTTCGTCAGCATAAATTAGTCGGTTGGAGTTATGCGCCATGTAGTATCGTTGATATAGGTTCAAAATAGCCGCGGTGCTATTGCTGATCGCCGTGGTATTCGGAATTCAACTAGGATGGGGTCTAACAGGGATTCATGCACTCGCACTTCCAAGCGCCAGTGTAGAAAGAAGCTTCTACTCCATCATAGGAGAGCATCACCAAAAGAAACGTCTGAAGTTTGTAGACCAGTGTCGTAGCTTAACAGGTCGAACAACCTTGAGAATTCGGGAAAAATCACATCAACACATGTGCCAGAGTCTACTGCCTCGGTCCAGGTGGATCGTGCTAGCAGCATATTAGTAGTGCACAAGCGATTCCTTCGGAAGCCATTCTGTTTCGGTGCAAGGTAGTCAATTTCTTCCAAGTAGGCTATTAACGCATCGGAAATAATAGTTTCCATGAACTTTAAACTATCGGGGTTAGAGTACGGGAGGGTAGTTGGTTTGATATGAACGACTAGCTACTTTGAAAATAGGAGTAATCGTCTTGTATTTCCACGTGTCAAAACCGCGTTAGAAGAATCGAGCCAAAGGCTTAGCTATGCTCTATCCTACGGCCGCTAGCGACTTCGGATGTATATTGTCAAATTCAAGAGCACTGTGCTTACGCATACTCAATAGCCTTTTTACTAAATCACTGCCGTGAAGCATATGTGAGTGAGCTGCAGGTGATGATACAACCATTGTCATAGGGTTAGGTAATAGTGATCAAGCTGACATGTTATAGTTTATCGT